AATTGGACATTTTGATTTGTTGGATAAAGACAGAATAATCAAGAATGACTATTTTTTTTAACCTATTAGACTGATAAGGTGGAGTTCTTCTGTGATAAGATAAAGAAGAGTGCCAGATGAACATATCTACAGTAGAGATTAAATGTTCAGTTTGGGAACTTGTCCAAGTTGTCAGTGTAGCACTTTTCTTTTTCTTTTCTTTCTTTTTTTTTTTTTTTTTTTAACTAATATGCCTAGAGTTTACAGAAGAGGTTTAAGTAGGGAATATAACTTGGACCATCAGTGTATAGATAGTATTTAAACTCACAGAAATGGGATTACCAAGAGAGAGAATATAAGTACAAAAACAAAAAAGGACAGGGGCACCTAAGGGGCTCTATCACTTGCAAGTTGGTGAGGGTGGAAGAAGCAGAGAAGTAGAAAAATGAAGGAGGACTAGAGAAGCAAGTGGTAGTATGATATCCTGCAAGTCATCTGAAGTGTTTCAGATGGATGAAATGATCAACTGTCAGATACTAGAGAAGAACCATATAAATGAGTTGAGAAATAAATTTGTATTTTGCAGCATGGAAATCATCAGGAGCAGTTTTGGTGAATGCTAGGATTCAAGACTAATAGCAATATGCTCAAGGGTAAAAGGAAGGAGTAAAACTAGGATATCATTCAGAGTTTAATTTAGAAAGGAACAATAATAAAGCACTAACAAGAGCAACAAATGGGACAGTAGTTGAAAGGAGATATAGAGCTAAGGAAAAGCCACAACAAAGTTTTTGAATGGATAAAAAAATGGGATTTGAAAAACAAGCAGAAAATATTCCCTTAGAAAGGGGCACAGGAAGCTGCCTAGTGATGAGGTGGGGGGTGGGGGAAGTTCCTGTGAAAGGTAATGTAAATTCTTTTCAGACCATTCATATTTCTTCAATGAACATCTTATCTGCTTTATGTATATAAGATATACTTTACAAAAATAATTAAAATAAGCTAAATTATGGGACGCTTATCTGCTGAAAAAGAAGATCGAAACTTGGTGTAGGTTTGAGGATGGATAAATTTTGGAGAGGTTGTTGAAACACAGAATAATGAATAAACAATAGAAAAGTAGTAAGAATGATGGGCAGCCCTAAGCCTGATGAGATTAGCGTTAGTACATTTAGCAATAAACCTGTCAGCTCTGTTTGCAGGTACAGAGGGGACTGACAGCTGAATTTAATAAGATTGGGCTTTGTTTTTTTTTCCCTACTAAAATACAACAAATAAAGTAGGATAGAGAATGGGAACTAAGTACATATACCTGGTATTTATTATAATACTGGACCATTGACTCTAGCAGGTTAAGAAGTGTTAAAAGATGAGGCAGTATAAGTGATAACGAAGCAGTAATGGTGGAGCAGTAGATGTTAGGTTCTCATGGGGTTGAAGAATTTAGTTGGGGTACTAAAGAGAGTAAGCTGAGAATTAAAAACAACAACAACATTGTATCAGAGGGTGGAATACAAGAAAATGAAGTTGAAGATGGAGTTTCTGATCAGAAAAATAAGTTTGAATATGTAATAGAGACTAGTACTCACTAAAAGTTCCTCTTTCTTCTCCTTCCTTACACTATAGAAAATTCCACTTTCACATTCCTTGAGTGTAGTTATGTTCATGTAACTTAAACTAGTCGAGAAAAAAGAAAGCAGATGGGATAATGACTTGGTGATCTTAAAAGACTGCAAGTGGATATTGGGTGGTGGTGCAGTGTGAGGACATGAAAACCAAAGCCGGGAGCTTTGGAACAAAGAAGAAATCTGAAAAGAAGCTATAAAAAGAAAGAAAGATGGAGATCTGGCTATTTTAAACAACACACATGCAATATAATAATTTCTTATTAGACAACCATAGCAATTCTTCAAATAAAATGTATTCTACTAAAATTCTCCTTTGGAAGAACTTTGAAACCCACAATTTCTGCTCTTCTCTCCTTCCCCAACCCCCACCTCTCTCTCTTTTTACCTTTCCCTAGCACTGCCCCTCACCATGGGAGTCACATTAAAGCATACTGAAAATGGACTTAATATTCTGGAATCCCCATGCATTAGGGGATTATGGGAACTCAATTTCTAATCCTCTAATATAGTTTATAAATCATGGAATTCACTAATTTTTGCTTCTAGTTTTCCTCAGTTTAGTTTCAATATTTGCCTTGGTTATTAATAAATTAAGAAATGTGATTTTCTTTTATATTTTAAATAGTATTATAATGTGCCTGAGTTTATTTGAAATAATATAGTGTGCCTGAATTCTATTTTACATGTACATTCTTCTATTTTTCCTTTTCAAAAACTATGAGTCATATATTTGATTACTCTTTTGGCTATTTTTCCACTAGAGGCTTAAATAATTTAGGCCGTAATGTTTAATATTTTTGTAAGTTTGTTTCTGTTGCATATTTTATCGAGTGCTTGCCAACTTTAGGAACTTGAAGAGTAATTATGAGTTAATATTGAGGACCTACTTCATGTTCTAGACAATCCTTAGTACCATATATTTAAACCTCATAGCAATATTTTGAGGTAAGATTTAGTTCACATATTTAAAAGGTAATTGTTACACTTGAAATATGTTACAATGTAGAGAGGGAGAAGAGTTCTTTGTCATTAATGGTAATTAGAGATTAGAATTCCATTGGACCTTAAAATAATGAACATCCCTTTACTTTGTTTATAAGAAATTACTTTAAACATTCCATTGGAAAAAAAATATATTTGAGGTTTATTATAATATTAACCAAATTGCATAATTAGAGAAACTGAAAATGCTCAGTATACAGTAACATGGATTTGGTACAGAAGTACTAAAAATAATTGAAGTACTAATATTTTTACTGAGTTTATTAAATTTTTACTGCTTTTATTGTCAACTTTTAAAATGCCTCTATGTTCTACTATAATTATTTCTATTTATTTTTCTTTTGGCTATTCTTACTGGCAGAAACACATGTTGTAGCTTAAGCTTGATCTTTCTTTCTTTTTTTTTTCCTTTTATGAGTTAAAGTACAAATTTATTGTTTGTTATGACAGTATCTCAAACTTAAATTTTAAACTCTTTTAAATTTGCTTTTTTCTCTTTTTTAGTATACATAATATTAAATATGAAATACTCTATTGGAAAATATAAATTTTGGAACTCACCTGTTAAAACTTAACAGTCCCTTCTTCTGTACCTCAAATCTTTGCATCCACCAGATCTAATGACATCATTATGTCATCAGATAATTGAGTCCTACTTACACCTTTAGTTATGTATTCACTATCCTTCTTTGTTACTTTCAAAAATATAGGAAACAAGCGATATGACTCTGTTTTTGCTTTATTAAACCACTCCCAGAGACTAAATTTCCTTCATTTAATGTTTATAACATGTTGTGAAAAGTTTGTTAATAAATCAGAGAGAAGTAAAATTTTTAAATTTTGCCAATCAGAATGAGGAAAAGAAGCACAATAATTTCCCCAACTCATCATTAGGCTTAGCCTGCTCCTCAGCTCTAATAATATTGTTTAATTTCTGTAAGCAAATATTAAATGTATCATGCACTATTTTTTTATTTAGTCCTTATGACAAACTTGTGAATTATAATTGATTATGATTTTATTCTGGGAAGCTGTGATAGTGGAATTTAAGAAACTTGCTCAGAGTTTCACAGTCAAGATATGGAGGTATTGGTATACAACTGAGGGTCTGTTTCCAAACACTGTTTCCTAATCACCAACCATTTTTCAAGGTATGGTCCTCAGATGATTTCTCATGCTTTATAAAACATAATCCAGGGCATCAATCTGGGTGATGGACCATAATCTCCATTTTTACTATGCTGTTCAAGGAATTGTGGCATTCATAATTTGAGAACTTTTACAGTAACACTTACAATTGGCCTTTTTGCCTGTTTTTTTTTTTTTTTTTTGGATGCTCTTGTTCTTACTTTCAATAATCAGCTTCCCTCTACTCTCTAAATTCAATTTCTACCTGAGACACAAACAATAAAGGTCTGTAGCTTGAAGGTAATTAGCACCAAGTCAGCACTTAATTTAGGTTATGTATTTCTTCTTCTTCTTTTATGCCCTTTAAGCAGAGGGAATTGGAACTCCCCCCAATGTTTTTAAAGCTCAACTTTTAAATGTTTTTTTATTAATGATTTTTATATACAAACATTTTACATATATATATATATACACACACACACACACATACATATAAAATATTGATGTCCCTTTTGACATGAACATACAAGCATGGAACATAATTTACTCCCCTTCAGTCCCCAGTAATTCCCCTTTTCCCCTTTCCTTACCCTCTGCCTTCTCGAGGTTTCCATTCCTCTACTTTGCTGGTCTTCCTTCTATTTGTTTATAGATTTATTTATTTATTTATTTATTTATTTATTTATTTATTTTTACTTACTGCTTCGTACATATACATAAAGGTGAAATTCACTGTGGTATATTCATATAGCATAGTTTACTCAATTTCATTCCACCTTTCCTCCCTTTTGCTGTCCCTCCTACCTCCCCCTCAATTCCCTTCCTTTAGTTCACTCTACCTTCCATTTTCATGGGATCTTCTGCCTCAGCTTTTAATTTTTTTTCTTATTTTAGTAAAATTTCTGCATATGAGAGAAGACATTTGACCCTTGACTTTCTGGGTCTGGCTTATTTCACATAGCATGCATATGCTCTGCAGTTCAACCCATTTACCCGAAAATGCCATAATTTTATTTTTCTTCATGGCTGAGTTAAACCCCTGTTGAATATACCAATTTTTTCTTAATTCATTCATCTGTTGATAACACCTGAACTGATTTACTAACTTGGCTAATGTGAGTTGTCCAGCTATAAATGTTGATGTGGCTGTATCGCTATAGTAGCTCAACTTTTTTGACTAGTCTTGTCTAGAACTCTTCTACTTTCTATCAGACACTTATAATGCTACTCTGATTGAATTGTGTCCCATTTACTTCCAGATGCCTTCAGGCCAAGTACTATCAATCTTTGGCTTAGAGCTACCACTTGCCATCTCCTAGTTTGGATCTGGAACATCTTCCCAAAAGCTCATATTTTGAATGAATGATCTCCATTGCATGAAGGTTCAAAGCTGGAGGTTCTGAGCAATGACTATGGCTCTGACCTTATCAGTGGATTCATATATTTGCTGTATTAATTCACAAGAGCTGAAGGGACTGTTGGCTGGTAAATGTTGGCAGTTAAACTGGAGGAAGTGTGCCACCGTGTTCAGGGGTGGGGTGGCCTGACCTTGGAGTATTGCTGTCCCAGGCCCCTTCTCTCTCCCTCTGCTTCCTGGTTGCTATAAGGTGAGTGAATTTCTCCTGCCATGCCTTCTGCCCTGTTTCCCCTTAGAGCCAGCTAACCAGACTGACCCTCTGAAACCATGAGCTAAAATAAAATAAACTCTTTCTCTTCCACATTGTTCTTGTCAGACATTTTGGTCACAGTGGTGAAAAGCTGACTAATATACCATGAGTCATGGAAGATTTTATATATTTATGACATTATTTTGTGGACTTTTATTTCTTTTTATTTCTTCAGCTGAATATAAATGATCCACATACTCTATTTAAAATAACAGGCTTCTTTTCTGGACTATTCCAGTGACCTGGATAATTCTTGTCCTGAAATATAGCATGTATCATTTTAAAAAAATACAACAACTCTATCATATAGGAACATACCATGTAATCCATCTAAGTTCATTAGATGTAACAATGACATATTCTTAAATATCATCTCAAATATTCAAATCCCAGTACCAAAAAGAAAAAAAAATTCAAAATCTCTTACAATTTTTGATTTAATGATTCCATAATTGCATGAAGTACGTTACAACATCTCTTTCCTGAAAACAACATGAGACATCTATTGAAAAACGACATTTATTGAGAAAAATGATTTCTTCTCAGAACTTAATTCAAGAGGGGAAATTACTTGAAAACTAAGGTATTCTAGCCCTGAATTACAAAGGGAGAATTTCATTCTTATAGGCTCTTAAATTAACTTCTTTTCACTATTTTCTGCTTGTTTGTCTGACTCTGGTTTTTCAAAGGACCATAAATTCCAAGAATATCAATAGATCACCACTTCCTTTGCAATTTCTTGACTATCTGTTTCTATTATGTATACTGTTCCTTATGACATTCCCCTTCTATTACATATTTTTTCCTTTGGCTTCATTAACATTGACTCTAAGCCGTTGTCAATAGGATGAATAAAACATATTAAGGAACCCCTAAGCCAGCTCAAGATTTTATTTCTGATCATCACTCAGGTTGAATTAATTAGTATGCCTTTTGTGAATAATTTATAAACCAAGAATGAATAGTATCGTTAATTGGAATGAGTTCCTGTGGGTTGGTAAATCATTATTCATGACCAATAGTTATATAAAGAAAGGACTTTATGCCTCATTGGTGCATTATCACATAATTCTCCAGCAGCGACTGAGAAAGAGTAATTGAGTGAATAAAACTATTTGGAACAGCATCCTATAATTATAAAATTTAGGACAAATGTAGAAAGAAATGTATTCAACTTCTTGAAAGTTACCAAGGAATTGCATACTGTTTCCTCTGCTTTTCTGTTTAATACACAGCAAAATAAGAAGTGAGAAGATTTTGGTAGATACACCCTCTTGACCTAGTGGTGACTACCTCTTTTCTTCTTTCATTTTCTATAATTGTCTCATATATGATAACTTTCCTAGGAAAATTCAAAAGGTGAACACTAAAGAAACACTAAAGAAAAGGTGGAGATCTGCTTATGTCCTCGATTATCATGTTTACAATTTGATTAAAGATTCTTACTCCTCAGTTGATTGGAATAAATTACCTCTACTCTAGTAAATTACCTATAAATGAATTATCAGTATAAGTGAAACTGAAACAATATAAAGATTGAATAATAGTATGGCAGACTGAATAATGGTCTTTCCAACAATATTCACATGTACTCCCTAGAACTTTCATAGGTTGCTTAAGTGGGAAAAGGAAATTTCCAGGTGTAATTATGGCTACTACCCCCTTAAACAGAGCAATCATCATAGATATCTGGATGGACCAAATCTAATTCTATAGGTACTTTCTCTGTCTGGAGTCAGAGAAACATGACAGATTATGAGCTTGAGAAAGACTTGAGCCACCACAGATGGTTCTCAGAATTAGGGGCCACATGTAAGGACAGGAGAGAAGCCTCTAGGATCTCATGGAAGACAAGAGAAGGAATACAAATAGCCATTAAGTGCAAACACTGACTCCTGGCTGGTAACCAAGGAGGAGATGGGGACCTCACTCTTATAACTGCAGCGAACTGAATTAGGCTAAGAGTTTGAGTGCAAACTGGATCCTTTCCCAGATTTTCCAGTAAAGAATACAGACCTGCCAACACCTTGAATTTAGCCCAAAGAGATCTATGTCAGACTTCTAACCCACAAAACTGTGAGAGAGTGAGCGTTTGAAGCTGTGGCAATCTTTTTATGGCAGTAATAGAAAACAAATTCAAAGAGTAATGAAACATAAGTTTATGATTTGAGCATGTAACTGTCTCTGTATCTCTACATCTCCATTTGTAAAGTGGCCAGGATAAAAGTATCTAACTCATTGGACTGTTGTACTTCATGACAGGTCAATTAGCTTTAGATAGATAGAAACAGACACAATGTCAAAATGGTGATCAGAGTATAGTAAAATAAAATAAATGACATAAAGGAAGTAAATGTCATGCTATATTCAAAACAGTCATATTTCGTTAAACTGTATGCAAATGAGAGAGGAAACACACATTTTCAGATAGACAGTGATCACAGTTCATTTGAGGTTATGGATCTAACCAACTCTTAATATCAGAAAAACTGTCCAGGTTTAGTCATTTCAGAAAACAGAGAGTACTTTGTTCTCTTACTAGAATTGTGCCCAATTTGACAAGGGTTGAAATGGCTTATGATTCTGTCATTTAAGATGCAGTTACCTACTTAAGCATAAAACTTATGCTTAAAGTAAATTTAATATTATTTCAAATCAGTATGCAATTTGATTGGCATTTAATTCAGCCACACTGCTCAAGGTGGTTCTTTCCAAAAGGGTTTTCATGAAGCCAGCTTCATCACAGCCAGCACTGAGTGCAAGTACTCTGTGCTTGAGTAGTTTGAAGCCTTGTAATCTAGGAATTAGATCCCTTAACCTATTGAGATTTTGTATCCTGAACATGGTCTGATTAATTAATGATATATATGAAGTAAGTACTTCAACTCACATAAATTTGGTATATAGAATATTGTTTTGCAGTTCTGAAAAGGATATCTAAAGATATTATCTCTGGGAAAATTAGCTTGGCCACTTTAAAAACCTTTAGATTTAAATCTTATTAGTGTTCACTTTTCTACTTGCAACCACTGGCTTATAACCCAATTATACTGCCAAAATATAGGTAAAAAAATCTAACCTCAGGGAGAAGTGGGAAAGCTGTTTTCAATAATTAAATCACAAATTCTCCAATGTAACTAAATCAAGGAGAAGGGGAAAAACACCTAATACTAAATTATCAATGCTCTTTGACAGGCATTTGCATAGAAACCAAAAAAGGTAAAAATGAAATTGAGGATGTGCTCCTTTGCCTCAAGATCCAGGCACTCCTGGAATAAACTATAAAATAATTCAGTTGTTTTTCCATAACCCTAATCAAAGTTTAAAATGAGAGGATAGTTGTTACCTCTTTCCTGAACTTTCTCTTGATGAACCTTCTGTGGGATTGAACTCCCTTGGATGCAGATAATTAGCAAACTTAAGTATAGCCATGTATCACTTAGGGATGAGGATATGTTCTGAGACATATATAATTAGGTGATTTTTATCATCATGTGAACATCACAGAGTATACTTACTTAAACCTAGAATGTGTAGGTCAATCACTTGATGTACATTCTTAATGACTCCACAGACATGGTACACATGAGATGCAGTTGGGTAATATGGCATATTGTTTCACCCTAAGCTTTTATTTTTATAAATAGAAGCCACACACTCTAAAACAGCAATAATATTCTAATAATTACATAAACCAGTAACAGTAATTTATTATCATCATCAGTATCATATACTGTCATTTTAAAAAAGATTCAATTACCTACTTAAGCATAAAATATTATTTCAGATCAGTATAGCAATTTGATTGGCTGTACCTAGTTATTTGTGCTATACTTTTATATGACTGGAGACACATAGGCTTGTTTACACCATCATCACCACAAACACATCTGAGATTGGTACATTGCTCTATCATGTTACATTGACTGTCATGTAACTAGGTTACAGAAATGTTTCAGTTCCATTATAATCTCATGGGACAATTGTTGTATGAATGGCCCACAATTGACTAAAGCATTGTTATGTGGTATATAGCTATGGGTAAAAGTGAAAATGTTACTTGTTTATGGTTAGAATATTCCATGTTCTACATAGAATTTAAACTCAAACATAGGTTGATTACGATCCCAAGAATAGTTCAATAATAACTTGAAAGAATATCCCATTTGGGTAGTGGCAGATAAAATTTCACTTGCAGTGGCACTGGACAATATATTAACACAATTCCATCTGAATTTTTGTAATAGTGTAAGCTATGTTTTTATAATTCATATATACTCAAACATACAAAAACCCTTCTTTTATGAAGAAAAACTTGAAAGAAAATGCAATAATAGGTAAGTAAGAGTATAAATCCATGGAATTATCCTCTAAATGAAGACTAAATCAGCCAAAGATCAATGACTAAAATTATTCTAGGAACATGGACTTGGTTTATAAAGAAAGGATCTATCCTTGTGTTATATATATAATAGATGCTTAGTACAATGATGATAATAAGAGTAGCTGCTGGTTTTTGAGAGCTCAATTTATGTCAGGCATTACCTTTAAAAAATTCAAATCTATGGAAAAACTACTATTGTTCTCAATGAGAGATAAGTGAAATTATATAGGTCAAGTATTGTGCCTATAGCTGTGTATTTAAAAATTTCGTTTTAGAAACAAAAGCATGTTAGTAAAAACATTATCAGGCTATAAAATTACCCAACTCTGCCATAATTCCTGAGATGTCTTGTCAGATGGAAAGTTAAAGAGAACAATCTATATTATTTCAGAAGTTTCAAGATAAAATCTATTTTACCTCCCCTTCAATTTGGGTGGGGGGGACTTAGTGACATGTTTGACCAATAGAATGAAGCAAAACTCTATATTCTGTAAACTATCAAGACTTAAATCATTGGAATTCTTCCAGCTTTTATCTGGTCACTTGGGATGCTCAT